GGGGGGGGCTCAAATGGACGCCCCCGGCGGGGTCTGCCGTGTCGGGGGGGCAGGGGGGTGCTGCTGTCTTCCTCCTCATCATCTTCATCCTCCTCCTTCTCCTCAGGCGCTTCTTCCCGCCCAGGGCCTGAGGGGAGGCGGCTGAGTGAGGCAGCGTCGCGGCCCAGTGCCTTCCCAGCTCTAAAGGAGAAAAACCTTGAACTGTAAAATGAAGAAACGAATAAAAACCTAATCCAAAGGATCTGATAACAGCGAAGTACTCAAAGCAGCAAGTGTTTCTGCTAGCATTGATTTCCCTCCGCCACCAAGACTTCAAGGGGGTGAAAAAGTTGCTGAAGCGGGCTGAACTGGGACCACCGCATCATTAAATTTTAAGTGTTTTACCCCTCCTCGGTATTTCAGCATTATTTGTAGCAGCTGCTGCCTGATGGACTCCTAATTTCATAATAAACCCAAACTGTAGTTTAGGTAGTTTTTGTCGTGACACCTCGCTTGCAAGCTCATGAAGGAAAGAAGATAATTGGCAGTGCTTTCATCTTATTTGTAACCCAAATTCTTCCCACCTGCTGCATTTTGGGTTTTTTTAATTTGCAGTTAAGCATGCCCATCAGTTGCTAAAAGTGTCCTCAGCAAAGCTCTCTCCCTCTTTTTAGTCTCATACCATGTACTGCATTAGCAGTAACTATTTTTGCCCGTAACATTTTACAGTCTGATCATCTGTTACTTTGCCAATGCAACAATAATTTGTTTCTATTTTTAATCTCAGATTCTATTTTAATCCCCAATTACTTTCTACTTTTCCCCAGCAGATCATTTGGACTGCAGCTGCTGGACTCTGGACCTGGGTCACCCATCCTGCCTTCCAGAGCAGCATTCCTATCCTGTCTCTCTACTGGGATGTAGCTAGTACAAATAGTCTGTCTCCGAGCTGTTTAAACTTTCTTCTCTTGGTTTTTCTTTTGCAAGCCAGGTTTAATTTGCCATTAATTGAATTAAAATGTGTTTCTTTACTAGTATTTCTCAAAACACTCTTCAGGTTGTTCCTTCCATCTCTATCTGTGTGCGTTTTATAGCTCTCATAAAGTCCTACTCTCGCTAGCAAGATATTGCCCAGTTAGTTTGTTATTTGATCTAAACTTCAGCCAGTCTGTTTTCTCTCTTGTATAGTCAGTCGTCATTATGCACATCTCATTTTCCATGACATCTGCAATTGGTTTTAGCTATTTCTCTCTTGTCAGTAGAAAACCTGCCTAGCTCAGCACTGATGCTGATAAGATTTTGATGTGTTCCTGGTCTTCCTGTCCAAGTCCCTTAGATAACCTCTGTCTAGTTTGCTCCCATTTCAGAGCGACACATTCAGAAGGATCCAACTGGCAGCCTGCTGCCGAGTTTACCTGCCCTCCCTACATCTCCATGACATCAAGATAAAAGCATTATTTTGTATGTCTTTTCAGTCAAAAATGTCTGAAGTAAAGGCATAAGTAAATAATGTCAGAGCTGTGTCGGAGCCCTCCAGAGAGCTGTTTTCATGGCACAGAGCTAGTGTGTGTTCTGTATAAGAATGTGGGAAGTGGAAAACACACCAGAAGAGTGTTAAGGACAGTGTAAGGTAGAGGGAGCCAAGCTGGTGCAGACTCTTCTGCCCTGTGGTGCGGATCTTTTTAGTGTCTTTGGTTATGCACACTTCTTCGACCTTAATGCCATTTTTGTATCCTTTGAGACAGTGCCTGCAGCTGTCACCAGTGAATTCATTTTGGCATCATTCTGCATATCATTTCAGATTATCTGTAAAAAAAACAGATGTGAAATGGGCTTCCTGTCCTTCTTCATTAAATGGCTTCTCCTTTTATGGTGCAGTAGGGCAACCAGTAGAAATGAGGATATAAAACAAAAGAATGACAGGTAGCCAGTTTGGAATATCTCTTGCGTTATGTATTACTTTATTGTTGTATTCCAAGTACAAAACCTACTTTTCCAACATACTTTCTCTGTGTTCCCCCTACACAGACAGTACTTTCAACCCCGTTACCGCTGATCTAATCTAGTGGTGAGATACGATTTCGCATCATCTACCTAGCATCTCTTTTGGCATCTGTAAGAATGGCTTTGTATTCTGTCAGAAGGGGTTTTGCCTTTTCACCACATTTTCACCATCCTTTCTGTACTTGGGGAAAAATACCGTTAGCTTCAACCCACTCAAGCTTCCAGTAAGAAAATTCCACATTGTAGACAAGCAACCTGTATGTCTTAAGCTTATAGTACCAAATTCCTCCTTTCCCATTGTCTTTTCAGTAAGTACAGTCATTCCCTCAGCCGTGCATCTGCGTACGCACTTTTCCAATGTTTTTGTTGCGGTAGTCTGAATTAAGGATGGTAGTTGCTAATCTCTTTTCCCTAATAGCTGTGGATTCCACCTGCCGCTAGTGCTTTTCAGTCATTTTTTCTCAATTTTTTGTATGTGATCTCATCTTCGCTTTGGTTATTCAGAACACTGAATTCACACTTCACTGTCTACTTTGCCAGAAGATTATTTGTATGTCATTCTTTTCCAGTGTTCTTTATGGTAGCTGTTCATAATTTAGTCATTTATGATTCTAATGTCATATTTGTCTAAATTGTCTTAAAATGTCTTATACCGTGCTATCAGTCATTTCCAAGCAACTTGTACGGCTGATATAACAGTATTATCCCTCAGTATATTTTATGCTGACTGTATTGACCCAATCTGCTTCAAGTCTTTAGCTTTTCAAGGGAGAAATTTTACACAGGGAAAAGGAAAATTTTCTGCCGCTTCATTGTTATTGATTTATTTTTCTATTTCCCTTTCTTTACCACATCCATCTATCATACTTTTTGTCTTAGGTGGAAGTTAAATCTTCCAAAGTTTATTTTCTTTTCTTTCCTTCCATACTGTCAAGATTTCACCTGGGTGCAACTTGTCATGTCATTAACTGCTGTCCCTTCAAGGCAGTTCTTTACTTTCTCTGCAACTTGCCCAAGGTGCTTCTTAGACAGCAAAACCCATGGCAGAGGCTAGAGACTACACAAGCTCACTTATTTTATCTGCCTACATTGAGTTTTTTTCTCCTTTAGTCCATTTCTTGCTTCCATTATTTCCTTTTTGTTCTTTAGAGACTTAGTGTGTCATTTGAGTCCATAGGTCTTTTTGGGAAACAGTGTTGTCCTTTGGTCTTGCTTGCACTGTAATGCAAGTTACAGTGGTGTCGATGCTAGCTGTTTCCTCTTTTTGAGTTCTTACAAGTTTTCTACTTCTATAGGAAAAAATATCCAGTCTGTAATAAGAACCTAATTTGATTAAACAGATTAGCAAATGGAGACGTTTCCCTCAGCAGCTTTGTGAATTTGTTTTTGGTCAAGTTACACAATCTCTTCTGTGGCCAGAGATAATTTCTAGATCAGCAGCTGTCTTTTGTCATTCTGATTATCAGCATAGCTCCCTTGGCTTCTCTTTAATTTGGCCATATCTCGTATTGGTGTTTCTGCAGCACTGTGCTGGTGATCTGGAATGGCCTCGGTAGCTCTGAGCTGCTGTGAGGTTGGGCATGTTCATGAATCCTCTTTGCAGCGGGACTGCGGGAAATACATACACAGAAGATTTGCAGTTGCAGAAATAAGCCATCTGTGATAAGAAATTAGAAAAAGTTAGTGTTTTTTGAAAAAAATTCGTTGTCTCTGGAGCAGTTAAAGCACTGAAAACTTTTCCAGGGAAAAAAAACAAGCATGCTTCTATTATTACAGTAATGTGAGTAAGAAATATTAGTAATACCTTCTTATCATTTCAGAAAAATGCAAAATTAATCACACATTACAACTGATACTAAATCCAGTGAGGTATATGTGTCTGATAATTCTGACAGAAAGTATTTTCCTCTTAATGCTTTACAATTAAAAATGAAGCGCTCTTGCTTTTTGTATACTAAATTGACTGCAAGTATTTGTATTATGTCTTTTGCTTTCTATTTCTTTCTAGTACAGATTAATTTTGAATTTACAAAGAGTCTGCTTGTTTGAGAATTTTTTCCACATACAGTTTTAAATTCCTCGTGTTGGATTTACTGAGCCTTTGAAGCTGGTATTTTGAATTCAGATAACCATGTGTAAAATTTGAAGTATAACTGCAGCTGAAGAAAGATATTGGCTGACAGGAATGTAATAGTTAAGATCTGGTTTAGAGAACGCCAAAGCACAAATTAAAATTCCATTTCAGCTAATAAATAATTTAGTAGAACATTGGGCCTTGCCTTATTAACGGGAGCCCCAAGGAGAGGTGGAGACATAAATGCTATTTGTTTAGGCTTATGGTTGTCTTTCCCCAGGAGACAGGCTTTTCTTTAGGTCTGAGGGAATAAGTTATGATCAGCAACACCATCCGGCATTCCTAGGATTTCTTGATCCCTACGTGAGCCTTGAAGTAATACAAGTACAGTGGACTTTCTTTCTTGGTCTTGGGGTGCAATTCAGGCCACAGACTTGAAGTCATTTGTCAAATTTAGGATCAAAATAGCAGAAAGAAGCTTTAAGTTGTGTATCATAAACTCTTCTTGTGAGGACTGTTTAAATCTGTTATCTATAACTAATATGTGTGATTATTTACTTATAATTAGTGTCTAAAAGTGAGCAAAA